ATTCTGTCTGTGGATTCGTCGATGGCGTTGTTGAGTCTGTAACATCGTTCGTGTTCTTTCATGCGGTGGACCAAGGGTCTGTAGGTCTGTCCGGCGTATTTGGAGGGGCACTGTGAGCAGGAAATTTCGTAGATGGTGTTGGGAGTGAGGTGAGTAGGGGGTGTGGTCTTCGTTTTGGTGAGGAGGTTGCGGAGGGTGGTAGCAGAGGAGTGGGTGACTTTGATGTCGTGTTGTCCGAGTATCTTGGAGATGGGTTTGGATAGGGAGGGATGGAAAGGAAGAGAAACACTAAGGGCATGTTCACGGGTCTGTCGGTTGAATGAGGCTAGGGATTGGTGGCGAGAGGGGTTGGTGAATTTCCGTTGTACTTCGTGCATGATGGTGGTGATGCGGTGAGGAGGGAAGCCGTTCTGGAGGCAAACGTGTCGTACTGTCTGGAGTTCGTCGTCAAGGTGTTGGGGTGAGCAGATGTTGTGGGCTCTTCTGGTCAGTGATCGGATGACTGCGTTCTTAGATGAGTTGGTGGTGCAGGAGGAGTACTTGGTGTAGAGGTTGGTGTGGGTGGGTTTTCTGTAGACTGATGTGGATTTGTCAGGGTGGATGAGAACGTCAAGGAAGGGTATAGTTCCGTCTGTAGAGGGATGTTCTTGGGTAAAGTTGAGGTCTTCAGTAAGGGAGTTAAGGAATGTAAGGAAGGATTCTGCGTGGTTTCTGTCTCTGAAAGATCCAAGGCCGTCGTCAACGAAATGGGAGTAAGTGTTCGGAGGGTCAGGACATGAGGATAAAGCTAAGGTCTCGATTTCAGCAAGGCGGATTTCAGCTAGTTCAACAATGAGGGGGGATCCCATTGTACCACCTTCGTCTTGGGAGTAGAAGGAGCCGTTGAATTCAAGGTATGAGTTGTCAAGGCAAAAGTTGATAAGGGAGCCTATGGTGGTGGTGGTGACATTGGAGGGAAGACGAGAGGGGTTCTGTTCAAAGGAGGAGATGACAGTTTTGAGGGCTAGGCGCATGTCACAGGAGGTGTACAAGGATTGGACGTCTAAGGAGGCGTGGTAGTGGAAGGAGGGATTGAGAGAGGAGTCGAATAATGTTGATTGTTTGCAGAAGGTTATTTGATAATGGGTGTCGCTAATGTGAATATTTGTCGAGCTTATGTGAATATTGCATTGATAATATCCGGATTTCGGACCAGCTTTGTCTTGGCTATTTAGCATTTGTTCTGTAAGAAAACCATTAAACCATATCTGCTCCTGTTCACGTTCATTAGTTTATTATTTTGAGACAAGTCACGTCCTATTTTTTAAACAAGCCTGTCTAATTCTCTGGTCTTATTACTGGGACTTCGTTTGCATTTCATCTGGCTGAGAGCGATCTGGCATTAAAAGAAAGTTTCAGTTTAGACTAAGAACATTTAATTTGGATTTACTCGGGAAATTTGTATTTGATTGTGATACCTTTGCGGTTAATTATCAAAGATTATTGTATAATCTGCGTGATTGGCTAATTATGTGCTAATTTCACATAGCTTTTCCAGTAATTGCCAAGGAATATTAGCGCTAGTAACTACGTTCTAACAGTCAGCGTTGTAACTATTAGTAATAGTAATTATTATTAACTATATTAGTAACCACACCAGTACACCTATATACCATAGCAGGTATAATAAATAATAAATATAAAGGCTACATAGTAGCTTACGTTTTCAGAGAGATGTCTTTCGACCAAGATAGCATTAGCACAGCGATGATGCTACCTTTCTTCTGGCAGTTCAAACTTATTGTGAGTATATCCTTCTATATCAAAAAAGTGTGCCATACCCAATAAATAGTTCTGTCATTATTGAATAAAAGTTCTAAACAAGGGATAGTTAAAAACAACACCCAGGTTTAATCTTTTCCTGAAACAAATAACTAGATACCAAAAACTTCATTGCAATTTCTGCCAATATCTCTTGCCATAAGCTAAATTATGGAGATAATACAGATCAAAAATAGTATTCATATAATAGTCATAGCAACCTATAATTGTTATCACAGCTACGAAATACTTGTTTAATAGCACTCAAATTAATTATCAAAGCGACTAAATACTTGTTTGAAAAAGCGTTTAACGTTATTGCATGCAGTGGATGGTCTTTATAAAACTTCTCATGTAAATTTATGTTCATTCATTTCTTGGTTCTTATTTACCTTTGCAGTGTTCATGAGTCAGTTCAGATGGCTTGAACTTGATCTTTAGATTTTTGTTTTTTTTTTCGGTTATAAAACAACGAAATTATGCTAATTATTGTTATTATTATACTCAATACTCAAACTTTTAATAAACATAACCCCAAAATAACGTAACCATTTATTAAACACAAATCTTACCCCCACCACTAAACCCTAAATTAACCACAGTAAGTAGTAACAGTTAACTTAATTGATTAATATAATACAGATTATTGATTCTTTAGTGTAGATTAATTTTACTTTTTTATATTTACTTAGAGTGAAGGATCAACCATAATTCATTGATATTGTTGAATTATAATATGATTAATATAATGTTAATTGATGTATTTGTAATATGCTATTGATGCACATGCCACGGGCCACCCCATCGGGGGTTTACTACTACCCACTCACCAACGGTGACGTTATCTTCGCAGTAACCACAACAACGGTGACGTTATCTTCGCAGTAACCACAGCAACGGTGACGTTATCTTCGCAGTAACCACAGCAACGGTGACGTTATCTTCGCAGTAACCACAGCAACGGTGACGTTATCTTCGCAGTAACCACATCAACGTAATAACACATCGTGACAGCACGTGTTACTAGGCCGTGTCCGCCGATTTATAGCATTAACGCCAGGTGGTAGGGGGTGTACTAGTAACCTTTAACATAGAGAGAGAGAGGAGCAGCTTTCAGGTGCCACAAAACGGGGTTTTGTCTCGTAATAAGGGGGACAATATCGGCTGATTATTGGGGTCTGGGAGGGTACGAGGGGGTCGTTCTGATCCAGGGTTATCAAGCCCTCCCATACGTATTGAGAAATCTCCGTTTATTTCCCCTGCCGGGTACAGGGCCCTTCACTTAGTCCTACTAACGCTTACTACAAGGTTTAGTTATGGGGCCACAATGCACCTTGTGTCGAGTCAAGTTTCGCACTGGATTGCATGAGGAATGTAAATGTCCATGTAGTCCATGTTCTCGTATATCTTTATATATTTCTTAAATTTCAATCTTGCTTAGTTTCAGTTTTTACTAGTTTAACAGAGCCACCTCATCTATATTTCTATATTCTATTACTCCGCTCCACGCGGACCCTTGTCTACTAGGCTAGCACCTTACTCGTTATACGACATTAATGTGACAGATAAAAGGGAGATGGCGTATCAAATACCTAACCGGGGTCAGTAACAACTCTTACCACTTCCATCCCACTAACGACGTAACGTCTAAAAGAGTCGTAAAGTCACTTCCATTAAAAACAGTCATTAGTTCATAGGACCACTCCGACTAGGACAGCTTTCGTTTCAAACTCCACCTCTTTTTCCTTCTCGGCATTAGTTTCTACCGGCTGGCGTGGTGGTGGTTGTGTCAATAATAAAGCTGCAACTCTCATCATGGTGTAGGAGCACTGTCTGACAATTCAATAATTTATTGTAATTTAACAAAGTCTCGTTAGTATTTGTTGTCGGTCCCAATGAAATCGCCTTAGTGTCGTTTGACCGGGATATGAGCTAATAGACAAGAGGCTTGCATTAATTTAGACTTTTGGTCGATACTCGATATTAATTAATTAGACTCGTGCTGATTATCAATAATTAAGTAAGATCGCAGGTCAGGCCTAGTATCAAGTATTAGTTAGGGATATTTGCGTTGCAAATTCTGTGCTACTGTAACAATCAAGACGTTTGCAGGAGCTATACGACTATCATATTTGATAATTACAAAAATATTACGAGTATATAAATATGATTAACTTTATTGTAGGTTGAAAATTTCCATAGTTCGACAAATACGATACGGTCATTAGATTTTGTCGGTATGAAAAATTCGGTTTTTCAATTTTGTATACAATTTGGCCAATCATGAGCAATATTATAAATTGCATTAAAAATTAATATCTGACCTTAATTCTGAATATTCAAGTTTAAGAAATTTTGAGGATCTCTTGAAACTTTAAACTTAGAGATTTAGCCATTAAAAGGAAGAAGTGGTAAGAACTTTAATTAACAGACAGGATTCGTTTTGATTTAATTGCACTTCCTAAAAGTTAGCGCAGAGCTGGCTTTTCTACGTTAGTTTTCTGTCTAATAATAATGCATGAAATATATAGTAAGATAGTAATACATGAAATAAAATTTAAAATAGCATTTTATATCCCACTCATTATATCAACCACAAATACTAATACACAAACAAAATCGGATTTTCTAAGAAAAATAGGCATAATTTTACAAAGGGATACCTTATATCGATCGTCTGCTGTTCACATTTTTTACATTAGTAACGTATTCATGTCTAACTTGATTAAATTTAATATGAAAAATCACAACTAGCGCTTAATGCTTATAGTCGAACTATGAAAATTCCCCTGATTTTGCACTGGGTTACTATTTTTAACCGGAAACTAGTTATCTGCACTTGTTACAAATAGCGACCGTTGCCGCTAGAAGCCGTCAGTCGTATCTATTGACAACCGTTTCCATGACTACGTCGGGTCATAATCAGTACACTTTTCCTACCGTACCTGCATGATCACTTCAAATAAGCTTCTTATTGCGCTTAATGATAATCGCGGCGATAAAGATTATTCCGTAATTTGAAGATAACTGCTTTTAGTTTTACAAGTTTACAATCTTCTCACTCCAGCTCCTATCACAGCATTAAGCAGCTGTTATTACGATTGCTTCCAACAAGCAGTTTACATTGTTCTAAGTTAATTACGACTCAGAAGTAAAAACTATTGTCAACATTAACGATTGGCGACGGTTGACAAGTAAATAAGTACTAAAGTACTAACAGTTCGACCGGATAAAACTGAACACGATCGTTGCTGCAACCAGTTGTTGCTTAACTTGTCGAATAAAAGTTAACGATGACCTAGCACGCAGTATTTAACGACTGACGGTTTTGCTATTTTTTGGGGTTAAATAATGATGTTCTGTACAATTGGGTTTACCGATGGATTTCGTCTGAAATGTCTTTGTAGGCAATTTAATAGTTTTATGTAATTTCCACGACTGTTCATTACCACTGTTTATCCCGATCTGTCACTATTCCGATTCGTGCCTGTCGGCGAGTTGAGCCAATTTGCCGAGTTTCGTTGACTCCACGAACGTAACAAATAAACATTACAAAGCTTATTCTTTATGATGGCGTTTAGGAGAGGTGTGAGTTCTTCCACTCCTCGGTTGTTGTGTTCAATTAGGTTATCATTTATTATAGCATTTAACATTCTTTCCTATCATTTAATATGATCACTCAGCACTACTGAATCATACCTATACATTTTCTAAATACATACTATCGTAACATACAATAAAAGTTTCAAGTTGCGTGCATTTAGCTATCTTGACATATTTATCAACCACCCGACAATGTATCTCTCTTGTCAGCTCATTAATTATAATGCAAATTGTTTATTTACCGTGTTGAGTATAATATATTCACCTTTATTTTACCTAGATTTGTTTTCGTTCGGGGCAAACCAATGCACCATTCAGCATGCAGCCCACATGCCACTAACCTAATTCATCACTTTCACGTCATGTGGTTACGCGCGTGATGGTGCACGTGCCAATTTTGTATAAACAAACACAGATGTCGCTAGATTAGTTCAGTAGCATTAAATAACCTTTTGTTTATACTTGTAGTTTAACGAATCATTGTGTGGACTCAGTTTTGTGAACTTTGAGAGCAACAAATTGTGTGCTTCTGAAAAGTTCAAATTGAAGGAGATACCCTTGGGGACCTCAAACTCGAAACCTGCAGCAGCAAAAAAGGACTAATTCTCTTGTGCGGTGTAGCAAAAGAACACTTCTGCCCTGATATTGAAAAGATCTTGAGAAAAGCAGGAGGATCTGCAAGCGATGGTAAACAAGGCGGAGTACAAAGTCCTGGTATCTGAGGACGATGATTCAGCAGGGGAAGAGGAAGTGAACCCTAGATACAGCAGAGAGTTATCCCACCCATTATCCGACTGTAGCAGTGACAGTGAGCACGATCACAGTGCAGACGACAGACACACTTCTCCTGCAAACAATGGCAACAACTCCTTGAGAACTCCTGATTATAGATCTCCTGAGAGGGCTGTGAGCAGGCAGGACGCGGACATCTTAATTTGTGGGGGTAGTTTCGCGGGGAGAGAGGCTGACTTCGAGCACAACCATGTTCTAGGTGTAAGTATTATCTTTATTCTTAGTTATTGTTGTAATAATATGAAGTTTCGTGCTTCATCACAAAATGTATGTTGACGCACATATTAGAGAATTAAAAATGGTAATTAACAGTGGATTGATCATGTTAGTAGTGATTGAATTGCCTTGATTAACAGCTCAGGTACGGAACATGGCGTCAACATTAATCAACTCTTCAATGGTAAAATTATGGCACATAACTCATCATAATGGCACATAACTCATCATAATGGCTTAATATAATGTTATCACAGCTTTTGTATTTATGCAGATGGTGTCGATCATATATTTCCTGAATTGATTTGTTATAGAACATTCCTATTTTCCTCAATGCCTCACTTCTGCACTCGTTATTGATAACTTTATGTGATAGTAATTAGTATAATTAGTAATTAGTGCTTTAGTGTACATGGTTTTTCTTTATGTAGACTTACAGAACGAACCTTTACTTGTTAAATACCTTACGAGACAAATTTAGAAGGTACCAAAGTCGGTGGTTTTCCGAACAAAAACACAATATTTTCGGACTACCAAAATTTAGGTCAACATCATTATTTTCCCCAAATTATTTTTCACGTATTTTCTTTAATTATTAATATAGTAAGTTATAAATATGATTCATGACGGTTGGACACGTTCCATTAGAAGTCAGCAAGCTTTATTTTATTGATTTTCTCAAATATTGGGTTTTATTTTTGTAACATGAAGAAATGAAAAAAATCCCAAAGTACAATGATTTAATTTGGGGTACGAAATGCGGTGGTTTTCGGCAGAAAATCCCATATTTTCGTTCCCAAATCATTTAGGTCACCGGAATTATGTCGAATATAAATATGTCTCGTAAGGTAAATAATAAAATGCCAGAAACTTTTTTGTCGGCTGACACAAAGGCAAATTTAGTAACTTTATACAGGGAAGAAAAGGATACCTATTGAGTATTTAAGATCATTCGCTAGGATTACAATTTACGATTACAAACTTTCAAAATTTGTCTCGACGATCGTGCAGCAAAATTGAATCCTGATACTGATACTGATAAATGTATGCTGAATAGACACACCTGTCGCTAACAAGTAAAGCATCACTTAAAAATGCTATCAGTTATTCAGTTTGGGTAGTTCGAGTGGGTACCGCTGTCGGTAGGGCGCCGGGCAGCGGCATCTGGTGCCCGACCAGCACCCTACCGGCACCAGACCGGCACCCAACCGGCACCCTACTGGCAACCTACTGGCACTCTACTGGCACCCTACCGGAACCCGACCGGCACCCGACCGGCACCCTACTGGCACCCTACCGGCACCCTACTGGCACCCTACTGGCACCCTACCGGCACTCTACCGGCACCCTACAGGCACTCTACTGGCACCCTACTGGCACCCTACTGGCACCCTACCGGCACCCTACTGGCACCCTAATGGCACCCTACCGGCACCCAACCGGCACCCTACTGGCACCCTACTGGCAACCTACTGGCACCCTACTGGCACCCGACCGGCACCCTACTGGCACCCTACTGGCACCCTACCGGCACCCAACCGGCACCCTACTGGCAACCTACTGGCAACCTACTGGCACCCTACTGGCACCCGACCGGCACCCTACTGGCACCCTACTGGCACCCTACCGGCACCCTACTGGCACCCTACTGGCACCCTACCGGCACCCTTCTGGCACCCTACTGGCACCCTACCGGCACCATACTGGCACCCTACTAGCACCCTACCGGCACCCTACTGGCACCCTACCGGCACCCTAGACTGACACCCTACCGGCACCCTTCTGGCACCCTACCGGCACCCGACCGGCGTCCGACCAGCGTCCTAACGACAGCGGTATCCGCTCGAACTAGTTCAGTTTGTTTTGCCTAGTAGTAGAGCCATTGTTCCTAGTTGATAGTTTCTAAGTACCACACCACATATTATTATGATAGTTCCGAAATTTCCGATTCATCACTACAAACTGTGTTAGTTATCTGACTTTCACAGCGTGTATCATGATGAACCCTCAGTTAACCAGCCCTTTGTTGTGATTGTGTTTCTTGTTCACGCTGTGATGAGCTACACACGCCTTTATTCTCCTGGAGCCGTCTCCCTGCCTCAAGTGACAATTTATGACCACGAACAAGCTGCAACGGTAACAAGCTTGTTCTACGAACAAATTTTAAAAGCGGCTGAAGTGAATGTGCTTTTTAGCGGAACAAGATTTAGAGTGCCTCAGGGTTACTCCGTGGTGGACTCCTTTTTAGGCGTAAGTCTTGTGATTAAGGTCAGTTTCATGACTTGATTTAGTGGAATTTGTCTGCTATCTTTTTGCCGAAGATAAAGCGATAGAATTGCTCAACGTTTGTATTTTCCTTAGAAGGAGTAAAATGTTAATACTTCGGCCGAGGCCGCGGGTTTGCGATTTTTCTAGCAACTATTCGTGCGCATTGTTGATATAATTAATTAATAATCAATAATAATTGTTATAATTAATAATTATTAATGTCGATAGTTGCTGGTTTATCCACACACCCTATCCTGAAATGTGCCAATTCAACCAGGAAAAAGTGCATAAAATGAGCATAAAAACAATTCTAGATTAAGAAATAATTATAAATTTTTGTCTGCGTCATAATTTCAGCTCACTTCAATCATTTCTAAATCTAGGAATCAATGATAGAATTAGTTCATCCAGTTGTGTGGTCGATTTCGGTTATTTGGTAGCGTTTTGCAAATTTAGTCGGTACGCCTTGACGAATGATTTTTATTTCGAATATGAAAGCTCAATATAAAAGTTTGCATGGAAATTTGCGTTTGTACTCCAGTAATTTCAAGTTGCTCATTGTTCAAAGTACCCTAGCGTCTGAAAATTCTATCATTCAAAGTCATAAAAACAACAGTAGGCTGATTTGTCCCTAATTTGATATAAGTAAGGAGAAAGGAACTTTCAGTATAGCCAGCTTCAATAGTTACTTTCTGTGGAAAGTTAGATATCTAATTATCTTTACTACAGCTAAGATCTCCGTTATATAAAACATATACCAATATAAAAAGACTAACTTTAAAGTACCAAAGCCTGTTAGTGTTATCTAAGCAAATTAAAAACCAGCTGGCAACACAACCTTATAACGGTGAGGAGCCGGTATGGTTGTGCGTACTGCGTGGTTAGAGCAACAGGTTGCTAAGCGGCTAACAGGTTGCTGAGCGGCTAACAGGTTCCTAAGCGGCTAACAGGTTGCTAAGTGGCTAACAGGTTGCTAAGCGGCTAACAGGTTGCTAAGCGGCTAACAGGTTGCTAAGCGACTAATAGGTTGCTAAGCGGCTAACAGGTTGCTAAGCGGCTAACAGGTTGCTAAGTGGCTAACAGGTTGCTAAGCGGCTAACAGGTTGCTAAGCGGCTAACAGGTTGCTAAGCGGCTAACAGGTTGCTAAGCGGCTAACAGGTTGCTAAGCGGCTAACAGGTTGCTAAGTGGCTAACAGGTTGCTAAGCGGCTAACAGGTTGCTAAGCGGCTAACAGGTTGCTAAGCGGCTAACAGGTTGCTAAGTGGCTAACAGGTTGCTAAGCGGCTAACAGGTTGCTAAGCGGCTAACAGGTTGCTAAGCGGCTAACAGGTTGCTAAGTGGCTAACAGGTTGCTAAGCGGCTAACAGGTTGCTAAGCGACTAACAGGTTGCTAAGCGGCTAACAGGTTGCTACCGGCTACCGCTACAACCGGACTGTCTGGGAATTAAGTATGAAAATGTCTAAAACTGAGGTCAAGGAGTCCGCTCTTAGCTTGTGTGCGTCGAGCTTTCACCGCATTAAACGCAAATACGGCAAAATAGGGCAAAATGGCGTGAGCGTAGTGTTAAACGGTGGCGGCTGCTTCTCAGAGACTTATTTCCAATTTCAATGTGATTTGGAGTAATTCTCGAGGAGAAGTGAGGCTACCATATCAATTATAGATATATTCTTTTATATTGGCAGACGCACATCGCAATTGCTAATGCGAGTATTTTTCTGAAGTTTTGTTCCGTTTGATTTCGTCAGGAGGCAGGGGATTCTTTGGGAGATCATGGCTTCAAAGCTGCGAATTCTTCTTTATGTTATACACATTCGAGTAAGCCGCCCAGTTTGAGAATTAGGTCGGATTTTCTAGCCATTTCTAGACTATGATATTTTGAATTACAAACAGATGATTTTTTTAAATTAATGCTTTTAATTCATGAAATTGTGTTTAGATAATCGCGACACTAACCTAATCAAAATATTTGTTCTATAATTTTCACAAATTAGTGAGATTAGCTGGTTTGTACCAATTTGTCTTGGTTTAGAAAATATGTATCATTTGATAATATTTTTATATCCTCGATTTACAGTAATATATCACTGTACCGAACCATATGAATATGATAAGATAATATAATAATGATGATAAAACTGAATAAAATTAGAAAATTAGTTTCCTGCAACGTGTTTCTGATAACTGACGATGATATTTTTTTCAGAAGTTGCGAGAGTTAGCGAAACAAAGTGAACGTAAGTATTCTCAGCACATTCTACTAATTAAATTATTACATTTTTTGTCATAGATATAACTTGCTAATACATTTGACTGACTGACACTAATAACAGGGCTAATCCTCTCTAAAATGACTGATCCCTGTTCACTTAATTCTGTGAATATTAAACAAAGGTTTATAATCCACTGTTCATATTATCTTATCTTAACATAATATCATGAAGCTATAACTGAGGTTCGCCCGTTTGTCGCAATTTAATAAAGTAACTATAAAGATTAAAGTTCTATTAAGTTCCATAGAGATATTGCGTTAAAATTGCTGGTTGTTATGATTCATAACTCTGTGGTAAGCACATTACAGATAAGACCAGCATTTACAAGGTTTTAATTTCGTGGACCAATATCAAACACGTTTTACCTCGATATATCACCAAGCTAAAAAGCCGTTACTACGCATCTAATATCCGATTTAATCGTATATTAAACAGTAAACACG